TGACAATTCCCAGTCGGACGGTGGATTTGATACATTGAGGTAAGTCTATTGTCCTGTTATTACATTTACTGGTAGTTTCGAAACAAACCGAAAATTGTCCTTATGACGAGTTCTAGTTCCTTGCTCATTGACAGAATCGACGTTGATATTGGCGAGACGTCCAGGAATGTACTAAGTCTATGGTCTGATGCTGGGAATCATCATAACTACTACAGCAGAGGTCGCCTTGATAATATGACAAAAGTGCGAAGACGAGTTCAAGCCACTATAATAAAGCTAAAGGAGACCTCGAGGACAACAGATGAATAAGCCTGATTTTTAGAGATTTATTTGTGGGATGGTGGTTCCAAGGGCTGGTGCCTATGACTGAGGATTCATCGAATTCTTCTAGTCACTTGTCTCTTATGTGTCGAACTGGCACTCACATAACATAACAAGACGAATAAAATAGTCATGATTTTTGGCATATGAACTACCAACATGGCTGAAAAAGAGATGTATACCAAACGGTGATGAAGGACGGTCTTGACGACAAGACATACAACTTTGCATATGATAGGAAGAAAAGAGTAAGCATGAAATGTCCTTTCAGTGAGGACACATCTCTGCAGGCGGGTTCAAACAGACGCTCACTAGAACAGAGTATACGAACAGACACAAATTTAAAGAAGACCAGAGTCAAAACCCATCGGGTACCGCTGACCTGAAAGCAACTGGAAGTGACTCGGAGAAGCAATTTAACCACACCAGAAAACCAAATCTCCATAACTCGATGTTCAAAGCATGCAATCGTTTGGCAGATGAGAGCTGTCTGGGGGAACAAAATGATGCAAAATGATGTAAGAGGCCAGACCGGAAGGGTCCAATGTGAATGGGGATATCAAAAGATTTATTGGTTGATCTCACTTAGGCAACTTGGACCTACCACTTCATTGACTAGGCGCAAACCATAAGCGGCAATGCAATTCTGCGCTAAAAGAACATTCGAAAACAACGACAAGAAAACGAATACGAGATGCCTACTTGGAAATCGAAGTAGTAAAAAAGAGTTCATAAAAAAGATTTATATCCATGAAACATTCCCGTTCTAATGAGCCTTGGAGGACAGTACGCCTATTGAGATCTGCTGTCGAGACGTCTTTGAACAAAAGTGAAAGTCACGACTGTACTAGGTTCTCCTTAGGCGAAGAGAGTAGGGCATAGAGAGAAGAGGCTTTGAGACAGCACAAGACACACTCGAGAGTGGACATAAAAGATGGGGAAAGTTGAAAATGAAGCCCTGAAGTAGATGAAGTCGCCAAGAACGTTGGCGGCAGCCAAACTTCAAGGCACACCAAGACAGTGCAAAGTGGCTTGACTATTCATTACATAAGAAAAGGCGGAATTCATAAAATGGTCCCACCCGAAATCGAAGCGGGACTGCGCTGAAATGAAGTGAAGATTGTTGGATTTCAAAATCCTCTTTCGGTTTCTAGTGGGAACAATTCCTGACTTGCTTCCAGCCAACTTTTTCTCCGAACTGAAAAGTCATGTCGCAATATATCATTAAGGAAATCTTCGAAACCCAGTTTTGCTTCACATATACATGTTTGCGATGGCAAAGATGGTGCAATTACCGAATGGAGTTCTTGTCGATGGCCGAAGAGATCATGTCAAACACGACCTCGGTGATCTCGTTTGCGGTGAACCTCGGCTTAACGTGGCGACAGACGAGCGCCCTGTCCATGTACACGGTCAGGTTGCACATGGCACACTCGGGCATGGCGAACACCTGACGCGAGTTGGCGATTCCTGTGGGCGCGGAGTTGCCCCGACTGCCGCCACGCGACGCCTGTTGGCGTGGCTGCACCGAGCCCGAGGGGGGCGGAGGCGGAGGCTGCTGTTGCTGTGGCTGCGGCGCCGGCTGCTGATAGGCCGACTGGCCTGCCGTGCCACCGCCGGCCATGCCGGACGGCGGAGAGATGGGTCCGGCGAGTCCGTTGTCGGTGCCTGAGCTCGAGACCGGGTGGGCCGACATGTTGGCAGACTGGTCCGTCGAGACGGCAGCAGCCGAAGTCGGTCTGCCGGTTGCGAGACTCGTGTCGACGGGAGCGGAGTCGTGACGAGAAACGTGTTGCTGTAACTGGGCGTAGGTGACGGGCTGCAGGGAGCCAGTCACACTGTGGGGGTTAGGGGTGGGAGTGGGAGTAGAGTGGGAGTGATAGTGGGAGTGGGAGAAAGGGTGACGAAAAGGCAAGAGAGCACGAGAGAAATGAGACTTTTTGCAAATATTCGCACTGGCTACAGGACAAGTTAGCCTAAAGAGGCCTGATTCATACTCCACTTGAAGCGTCCCGCTGGGACTGTGTGAAAGGGGACAGAGCGCACACTAGCCAGAGGCAAAAGGGCACACGAGTGTAGACTTTTGTGAGGCTGTCTGAGAAAAAAATGCCGAGAATCCGAAGCAGGCGAGCGGAGGCCTGCAGCAGCCGAAACGGCGTGGCAGGCGGGAGTGTGAAATAGAGCGTCGAGTGCTACGACTGAGGC